CGGGCCAGGCCAACCTCTCGGGGGGCTCTGCGGGGCCCTCAGGGTTGAATTTGGGTCCTGGCCCGGCTGCCGTGACCCCCAGCACGGGCTGTTCAGCCACGACCGGCCCACGGCCACACTTCCATCTTCAGCCAGCGGCGCGGGTGACTAAATGCAAGTAAATAGTTCTGCTGCACAAAAAGGTGTAAAAATGCCGAATGTTCCTGGTGGCCTCCTTGGCTCCTCAGAAGCAACAGGTTGTGGAGCAGCTCGCCCGAGCCTCTAGCCCCCAGAGAGTCAGCGAGTATGAATTTAGCGAGTTTTGCCACAGGTTTGCAGGTTGCCAACTCCCCATGCGTGCTTTTAGAGCCTAACCTGGTCTTTGCTGCTGGCGGAGGGGGAGGTACGGGCAGGGGGAACAGGGAGGTATGGGCAGGGTTTGCAGATGCTCCCTGAGGTGCTCACCTGTCCAAAATGAGACTAAAATTCTCTTTTATATAAAAAGACCAAATATTTTCCTATCTTCTCTCAGCCCCTCCAGGCAGGGGCTTCTTTCCGCTGCTGTTACAGGGCGGACTGCTAGCATCTCTTGCCTTGGGAATACTGTCCTTAAGAAAATTTGTTATTTAACTTTATATATGGAATGGTCTCTACCCATCTTTAGCTTTACAGAGTCCTTTCCTCGCTTCAAGAGTTTCTAACTCAGCATAGGTTTCTTCGTGCAGTCTCTGCCGCTATTCCAAGCGTCCTAAACCACTTATTCATTCTTCCCAATGCTTGTCATTGCACTCTTCTGTCCTAAATATAGGGTAGTATGCCAATGGGAGAAGCTTGAGAGCAAGCTGAAGTGCTGGGAACACCACTGTTTACTCAGAGGAGTAATCAGCAAAGCCTGACTGATTCCAGGTCGTGCTGACTTCTTGCTGCAGGAGTTTGCGCTCGCTTTGGGAGCTGGCACAAATTCTTGAATAACTAGAAGATGTTGTTGACAGCACACGCTAGCTTAGAGATACCCATTTATTTCAACATTGTGTAAACTGAGTAGTAAATTCTGCTTAATTGCTGATACTAGGCCTGGAGGATTGGCAAAAGCTGTGGGGCTGATATTGGTGAAGGTATTCTGTGCCTCGCTATGTACCAGTAAGTTTTGTATGGGATTTGTTAACCCCAAGCACTTCTCTGCTTTTAGAAATGGCTGGTAGTTGTTACTAGCTCGAGGGCTGCTTATCCACTTCTTTCTCCTCTTGTCTCTCGCTGCCCAGTGGGCTGGGCTGGGCTACCCAGAGGAGGACACGTGACAGTGAGACCTCTCGCTGGCTTCAGCGGTAAAGTGCATGGTTAGAGTTGGTTCAAAGCTCTGACCGTATTTTCAATGGCTGGCTGGTCTGGAGGAATTCTCGTGTGTCTCTTGTTGGCAGAGCTGTATGCCGGCAACGAGGGGGTAAGGTGGGAGGGAGTGCTGCTGTGTCCTGGCTTGCATGAGCGTACCAGCTGACGAGCCCAAGAGGTGCTTTGCACTAAAAAACAGTGGTCCTGCTTGGGTCTGATGGAGAAGAGAACGGTGCGTTTGCAGCAGCTGGGTCCTGTGGAAATTTTCATGCTTTAAGTGTCTGCAGCACAGGTGTGAGACATGGCGTGTTGTCAGCCTAGCAGAGAAGGTGTGATGGTTCTGCCCTGGCAGGAGTTGTTGTCACCTTGCCTTTTCCATGTTCCTGGGAGAGATAACGAAAGAGATTGTCCTGGAGAATTACCAGGGTGCTGTGCCAGCCTGGGGAGGAACTCCAGCTGACAGTGGTAAAACAGTCTGTCTTGATTCAGCCATGACAGCTATCTTAAAAATTTTGTTGTGGGGATAATTTTTGGATGGTTTGTGCCTTTCCTCCTGCTAGCTGAGGAATAGTACAGAAGATTTAATTCTTGTAATAATTAACTTGAATGAGGAAAATGCAAACTCTGAATTCTCCTTGGGCGAGCAGGGGTCATGTAAATAAATGTCTCTGATGTTCTTTGTGGCGCTTGTAGACTGTCTACCGATTGCTTCTGGTCTCTTGCAGAATCAGTGGGAGGCTGTCACTCCTTGAGCTCCAAGTACTTCAGCGGTGATTTGGGCGAAATACAAATAAACACAGTTGGATTGACATAGTGTATCTGAGCTCTTGGTATGCTGAAAATGTTCTTAGGATGTTTGTGCAGTCTGGAGAGCTCTGTACCTTAAACCTGATTCGCAGAGGACTGTGACCATGTTTAAGCTGTGAAAAAGAAAAGATCAACCCAAAGAACCTGTGCTTTTAGGGCTTGTTCTGTGAGATTGAGTAAGTTTGAGCAAACTGCTGAGATGCTGCTGGACAGAAAGTTAATATGTTAACCTGTGTGAATATGTTAGGTAGGTGTGCTCCCTAGTCTAGTGCCTTGTTCTGTCTGTGTATCTCCCTGTGCTTATCTGTTGGCTTAAACTGTCTCTGGTTCAGCTTTTTTGGGATAAAATTTTAGCTTGCCAGCTGGATTTGATGTTACCACACTCTTTGTCATTGCATTTTTCATGAGCATCTGAGTGGATCTGCTGGTACAACACTGTCCAAGAGAGATGGTCTGAGTCCCCTGGCCAGGGGACCTGACCTTCATCTCGTGGGTGCCTGCTGGGCCTGTAAGCTGATCGCCTGGCTCTTGAATGTGATGTCTGAGCTGTTATGGAAGCCTGAGGAGGAGGAGTCAGGGCAAGGTAAGTGGTGTGGCTTTGTTCAGGTTGTGGGGAGGCAGTGGGGGCCTCCCTCTTCTATCGGTGGTGACCTGATCAGATGGGTGGTTGTGTCTTGAAACGATGGCCTGAATTAAAGCTGGAGCTTCTTGCCTGATGGTACCTTCTGCCTGCATTATTAGCTGGGGTGCAAGTGATGTTAGGCACCCTAGGAATGCACCCTAGGTTTTTCCAAATGCTGTGTCCTGCTCAAGGTCACTTCAGCCTGGCAAGTGCTGGTTTCTGGGAGCCTGGCTTGATGCATGCTAGGAAGTTCCCTGGAATCTCTGCTGATGGCAGCAGTGCAGCCTTGCACAGACTCTTCCATGTCCAGGGTCCCATCCCTGGGCAGTGTGCTGGGACTTGAGAGCCAGAGGGGCCTGCTGGGCTCCTTACAGCAGCTCTTGCGTTTGTAAACCAGTGGAGAGGTTGCAACAGCTCCCCAAACCCCCCCACAAACGGTGTTCTGCTGGGCAGCCCCCTGACCCGTGTCACTGCCAGGCCACATCAGTCCTGATGCCACTGCGATTGTCCCAGAGTGAGAGATGGAAGGTGAAATTGTGTGGGATGGCTGAGCTGGTGTAGGGCTCGCTGCTTTTGGAGAGGAGACGTCTGACCTCCAGACACGTGGTTGCAGATGTGGTGTTTGCAGTCATCTTGCTGAGCTGATCGGGCAGCCCCCTGACCCGTGTCACTGCCAGGCCACATCAGTCCTGATGCCACTGCGATTGTCCCAGAGTGAGAGATGGAAGGTGAAATTGTGTGGGATGGCTGAGCTGGTGTAGGGCTCGCTGCTTTTGGAGAGGAGACGTCTGACCTCCAGACACGTGGTTGCAGATGTGGTGTTTGCAGTCATCTTGCTGAGCTGATCTTTTTTTTTTTTTTTTTTTTT